GCGAGCAAGCATTACTGCTTCCCCTCTACCTCCTGTCAAATCAACATTGGCATTAGATTCTCAAAAGAGCACAAACCCTATTGTGAACTGCACATGCGAGGGATCTAGGTTGTGCGCTCCTTATGAGAATCTAATGTCTCATGATCTGAGGTGGATCTGTTTCATCCCAAAACCATCCCTCCCATACCCGACCTGGAAAAATTGTGTTCCATGGAACCAGTCCCTGGTGTTAAAAACAGTTGGGGACTACTGATTTACAGCATATAAAAGGGCCAGGCACAGTGGCTCATGCCTGTAATCCTAGCACTTTGGGAGGCTGACACGGGTGGATCATTTGAGGTCAGGAGTTTGAGACCAGCCTGACCAACATGGTGAAACCCTGCCTCCACTGAAAATACAAAAAACTTAGCCAGGCATGGGGACCAGTGCCTGTGGTCTCAGCTACTCGGGAGGCTGAGGCAGGAGAATGGCTTGAAACAGGGAGGCAGAAGTTGCAGTGAGCCAAGATTGCACCAATGCACTCCAGCCTGGGCAACAGAGTGAGACTCTGTCTCTAAATAAATAAATAAATACAAAAAATGGAAAGCTATGCGTAGGTTACATGCAAATACTATGCCAGTTTACATCAGAGACTTGAACATGTGAAGACTTTGGTATCCGCAGGGGATCTTCAAACCAATCTCAATGAATACTGAGGGACAACTATATACATTTAAGGATTCTCTGGTGGAAAAGTTTGAGAAGCAGGGCTCTAAGACTCCCCTTTAATTGCTCCTCGGTTAGCCATTAATTCCTCCACAACCTGTGGAATGAGCCCTCACCCTCAGAGTGTAGACTCAGAAGGATGCCTTTCACACAGCCATCTGTTTTCTCAGGAGCTGGACGTCCTATACAGAACAATTTACAAGCAATAGTATTCTTTTAAACATTGGCATTTGAAGCATGCATAACCCGAAACACAAAGTTTAAAAAGAAGAAAATGGTTATGGAACACAACTTAAAGACCGATCAATTGCTTCAGCAATAGGTCCTCTGTACAGAATGAGCCCTAGGGGTAGTCCAATTACAGTCTACAATCACTGCCAGAGACTAGCTTTTTTCAAGATCCATTCCAAACGTTGGAGCCTTAAATTGTAATGCAAGTCAACAGAATAAAGATATACTATGCAAAATCTTGGCAAAATTGTCTAATATTAGACTATTTTAGACTCTCGTCACTTATAGAGGGAAAAAAATTCAATGTCCTAAGTCAATTTAGTGTGTACACAAGAACACATTTCCCTTTAGGCCATTCAGATTTCCTATAATGGAAACAGTTTCAACTGTAAAAATCAACCTGAAATATCGAGAGGCTGACCCATGAATTTTTTTTCAAATTTTTTATTATACTTTAAGTTCTAGGGTACATGTACACAATGTGCAGATTTGTTACATATGGTGTGCTGCACCCATTAACTTGTCATTTACATTAGGTATATCTCCTAATGCTATCTGTTCCCCCACCCCCTCCCCACAACAGGCCCTGGTTTGTGATGTTCCCCACCCTGTGCCCAAGTGATCTCATTGTTCAATTCCCACCTATGAGTGAGAACATATGGTGTTTGGTTTTCTATTCTTGCAATAGTTTGCTGAGAATGATGGTTTCCAGCTGCATCCATGTCCCTACAAAGGACATGAACTCATCCTTTTTTATGGCTGAATAGTATTCCATGATGTATATGTGCCACATTTTCTTAATCCAGTCTGTCATTGATGGACATTTGGGTTGGTTCCAAGTCTTTGCTATTGTGAGTAGTGCCACAATAAACATACATGTGCATGTGTCTTTATAGCAGCATGATTTATAATCCTTTGGGTATATACTCAGTAATGGGATGGCTGCGTCAAATGGCATTTCTAGTTCTAGATCCTTGAGGAATCGCCACACTGTCTTCCACAATGGTTGAACTAGTTTACAGTCCCACCAACAGTGGAAAAGTGTTCCTATTTCTCCACATCCTCACCAGCACCTGTTGTTTCCTGACTTTTTAATGATCACCATTCTAACTGGTGTGAGATGGTATCTCATTGTGGTTTTGATTTGTATTTCTCTGATGGCCAGTGATGATGAGCAATTTTTCATGTGTCTGTTGGCTGCATAAATGTCTTCTTTTGAGAAGTGTCTGTTCATATCCTTCGCCCAGTTTTTGCTGTGACCCATGAATTTGGAAAGGACATGGGTAACTGGTGAAACCAATTTTCCTCTGACATAATATTTACTTCTTGATTTATTATGCAAATATTCTATTATGTTCCTAACCTTCAAGACATTCCTTAAATGCAATAAAGCCACAGACTTGCTTTCTCAATAGCTAGAACACTGGCATCCATTGCTAGGTAGTAGAATCATTGGAACGGAACATGCATATTTAACGAAGGGTACAGCAATGTGTAAATATCACATCAAAGGCTCGCTTTCAAATACAAACAATTTTCTCTTCCCATTCTAGTGACATTTGAACTATTTTATTTTGGGCTCTCCACTTTGTCTGATTTGGTTAAAATCAATGCAAGGGACCAAAATCACCTCATTTGAAAGCAGCAGGAAGTCACTGATCACTTAAAATCCTGCCTTACCAATAGCACGCATTCAGGAAAGGTGTACTGAATTGATTTGCCAATTTGACAAAATATACTTGTGAGAGGGGCAGAATAAGGATATTTCTTTGCAAGTAAGCAGCCTCATCTAACTATAATGGACTTCCTCACTCAATAGCGACAAGAATACAAAATTTGAATCAACAAGCCAACTAATTCTGTTGCTATGTTCTGAAGTCAATGTGAAATAAAATTTTGGAGCAGTACCTAAGCTAAATCTGGAAAAATAACCAATTTTTATTTAGCACAGTGCATTGTATAGAGAAGGCGGTCAATGAATGTTTTATGACTGTGACAGTGACAACATTTTGCCAATGTTTCTCAAAATATGCTCCTAGTATGACACACATGCAGTGCTACCCCATCCAATTCATTCATGGAATATTTGCTATGTGTTCTAGGCACTGGGGATACAGTAATGAGCAAACAAGACAAAAATTCCTACTTTTCTGGGACTTAGTTTCTACTCGGAGTGGACAAAAGATAGACAACAGGTAAGTAAAGGATATAATATGTTAACGGTGAATGCCTAAGATAAATTCAAAGCAGGAAGAGGGTATTAAATGTTGAAAGGGAATTAAAAATGCAGATAGGGTAACCAGGGGAGAGCTCCTGGGAAGGTAACTTTTGAGTAAAGATGAAAAGTGAAAAAGTAAGTCATGCAGATATCTGAGGGAAAAGCATCCTTGACAATAGTGGAAGCATGTGTAAAGACCTTGAATCAGGAATTTCAAGGAACAGCAAAGGGGCCAATGAGGCTGGGCATGCGAAGATAGGAAATATAAGGGCAGATCACAAAAGTCCCCATAGGTCATGATGAAGACTGTTTTCTCCATTGAAAGAGACAGGAAGCGATTAGTGTTTTCAGCAGAGGAGTGACATGACCTGACTTGTGTTTTAACAGGTCTGCTCTGGCTGCTCTGGAGAGCAGACAGCAGGGGAACAAGGACAGAAGCAGCAAGAGGAGCTACTTGTTTTAAAATGCAGAGCCTGGAATTTGTGTTTTTTAACAAGCTCTCTATGTGATTCATAGGCAGTCAAATTTAAGAACTGCAACTTTAAATTACCTAAGCAATTGAGACAAAAATGGATTTTACAATCTGATTATTTGATAATCACTACTCGACATCCAGTGGAGAAACTGGGCCTAAGTCATTTGTACTAAATTCAGCTAACAACCTATCATTTCAGCCATGTAATCTCCAAACAGTACTTCCGGAAGAGAACTTTCAAGGAATCTTGGCCCCCCTGTTCTGTGACACAGGATACCCTCTGAGAGGTCTCCTCTGCAGAGAAGGAAATGAGAGCTAATGCAATCGCACAGTGGTGATGTATTTGATAAGGTCACAGAACAGGTACCCTATAATATGAGAAGTTTTAGGATGCAACTAAAATAGAGTATATGGGTGAGGACTTTCCTCAATTTTTTTAACATAAAGATTTTCATTTTATTTTTACATGGAAGCAAGTAAGCACTTGTGTGTCATTCTAGACACATATATAAACCCTAAATTTAACAATCTGTTTATATATTCTACATATAAATTATTGATAAACTCAATATATATTTTATAATGTATATTCTAGATTGGTTTATATGTGCATCTCACAATAAAATTTATAATTAGTACTTTTTAATACACTATAGAAATTTATATTCACAACAGTTAAAAATTCTTTGTGATTGAGTTTTATAACGGTAACAACTAGCATTTGCACAGCACTTGATGATTGAGATAATAGGACCTAGTTCCACAAACCATAAATAAACATTATTTCTACTTTATAGTCACACTATACACATACAAATCCCAATATTTTAACTAGTTTGCAATCTAGCCAATACATCTTCTACTTATTTTTTGTTTCTTTTATATGCCTCTGAATTATTTTATATGCCCCTCTGAACTGTGTACACAGTAGACACACAGATAAATTCTTAACTGACCACTGACTAGCCAATCTAGAGTGATGAAAATATTTGGTTCAGAGAATAAGTTATCAAATACTTGTTTCCTCTATTTATTTGACTTCTTTGACCCCATCTAAAAACAAAATTTTTAAAATTTCAAGAGGATAAACCTTAATAACCAGAAGGAACATAAATATATTTAAAGCAGATTTACTGAACCAATGGTTTAATTTTCATGAGAATAATTACATCCTGCTGCTATTTTTCCTTCAGCACAATTTCCCTAAAGTATTTCATCATTAAGGCCTGATTCAATGTGAATTTTTAGTAAGACACATAGTAAACTGAATTTTTAAAAAGCATTCATTGTTAACAGTATGATCACCCAGGTACAAGTTATTCTTTTGGATAAAGTTCAGGTAATTGGTAACAAATAATAGATACTGATTACCTTCTTGAGTGGAAGAAGCCTCTAAGTGTTGAAGCTTAAGGCCAGTGTCTAATCTTTGAGGCTTTGTATACAGAAATAAATAGCAAAGGACACAGACACTGATGACAAAGGCGAGTAAAACAAGGGCAGCAATTCCTAATCCAATCAAGGCACCAATGCTGAGGAAAACAGGAAAAAAACATGTGTCACACAAAGTGGTTCACACTGGTTCAACTAAAGAGAAGGCATAAATATATCGTTAGTTCTTGCTCTCAGTCATTCATAACCAAATTGTATTTTAGCATAAACAGTAACTGATTGAAATCTACAGTTCACCTTTTTCCATCACCAAATTCTTGTATTTTCTCTGTAGGATTTTCGAGACCCTGTTAAATTTATACATTACTTTTTTTTTTTTTTTTTTTGAGATGGTGTCTCACTCTGAAGCCCAAGGTGGAGTGCAGTGGCACAATCTGGATTCACTGCAACCTCTGCCTCCGGGGCTCAAGTGATTCTCATGCCTCAGCCTCCCGAGTAGCTGGGACTACAGGTGCATGCCATCATGCCCAGTTAATTTTTTGTATTTTAGTAGAAATGGGGTTTCACCATGTTGCCCAGGGTGGTCTCGAACTCCTGAGCTCAGGCAATCCACCCACCGTGGCTTCCCAAAGTGCTGGGATTAAAGGCGTGAGCCACCACTCCTGGCCAGCCTGTACGTTACTATTAATAGGGAAGATCATGTGTTCATATTATAGGTTAAAGGTCACATGATTCTTTTGGGATAATTCTAAAACATCTCCATCAAATAAACCTCTATTATTCATATATTTTAGAAGGAAAGATCAGGTTCAACAACAAATGATGAACAGAAAAATATTTGTTTCTGCAAAAGCACTAAAGACATATGTGAAATGCCATTTGTTGATTTACAAAGCCAAAACTATTATAAAAAAGGAGAAAGCAATTTGAATTAAAGGAAAATGGTATTTGTGAAATTCATATCAAGTTTATGTTCAGTTTGACTTTTTCCTTTCTAAAGGGGCATAATGTCAATGACTTCTAGCATTAAGGAAGAAGCCCTTATATTTTTCTCTAAAAACAAAATGTGTATCTGATTGTATTTGCTCCACCCTAAATTTGTAATGATTCCGTCTGATACAGTTACCTCTCAGTCTAATCATTTGAGAAATATAGTTTTCATAAGCCCGTGAACTGAATATTACTAAATGGGAAAAGAGCTTGGGGGAAAAAAAGGCATTATCTTGAAAGACTAATATGCTAACACGTACTTCTTGAACCACATTTTGTTCTAATTAAAATCTACCAATAGATTGTAACCTATAAATAGATTTTAATCAATTTTACTCAAGAGCAGATACTTCTGTTGACTTTCATGGTAGTGTTGTATACACTTATTTAAAGCATTTGAGAGTTTAGCTTGTAGAAAATGTTCAATAAATGGAAATAAATAATAATTGACTGCTGATTGATCTACCTGTATTTGGAACATACATCATTGAAAAGTAATGATCTTTTTCTTCATTATCTTCCTGGCTTGCCTTTAGGCTTCTGCTCTTTCCCTGGGATTAGGACACTGACAAGTTTAACCTGTACCAAAAGGGAGGTGAGGGAGAATTTGACCAGGGATGCCAGGAGCATTGTTGCTTTGGGAGGAAGGAGAACAGAACTGAAAGTGAAAAGTTAAGTTCACTCCACTTGTCCTTCATTTTAGGAGCTAGAACACCCCTGCAAAGAAGAGATTGCCTCCTGAACCACACACATGAAGTCGACTTTCAGAGATTCTTGTGCTTGGTTTATTGTCAACCCAGTTCCACTAGCCTTGTAGACAAGTGAAGGCTGGGGAAATTTATGGCTAGATTCACCCGTAGAGTTATGTATTTCAACTTGGGGTTTGCTCTCACTGGATGCACTCTCATCTAAAAGGTAGACTCCCTATATTTGGCGACTCCTCTTTTATACTTGTTTGCACCAAACCTAACTTTTGTGCATTTTAAGTGTCAGGGAAGGTTAGGATCACTTCACTATACACAGACACATGTGAGTGTAATCCACTCAGTTAATATTATCTGGTGCACAGAGAAGATAAGAGGCTAGACATCTGGAAAGATTCTGCAAGCAAGAACCTGATTATTAAAAAATCTTCAAGGTAAAAATGTAATTTAGTCTATTTGAAAGCAAAATTGTTACTTTAATTAACTTCCACATACACAGTGTGGGCTTTCAATATACAAATTATAAAACAAAAACAAAGCATGCCATCCCTGCTTTCTGTTAAAAAAGAATGTTCTTCATAATAGTGACAAATAGTTTCAATGTCATGGTTCACTTTATTAAAAAGTTGCTTTATGGCTGGGCGCAGTGGCTCACGCCTGTAATCCCAGCACTTTGGGAGGCCGAGGCAGGCAGATCACGAGGTCAGGAGATCGAGACCATCCTGGCTAACATAGTGAAACCCCATCTCTACTAAAAATACAAAAAATTAGCCAGGCATGGTGGCAGGCGCCTGTAGTTCCAGCTACTCGGGAGGCTGCTGCGGGAGAATGGCATGAACCTAGAAGGCAGAGGTTGCAGTGAGCTGAGATTGCGCAACTGCACTCCAGCCTGGGTGACAGAGCGAGACCCCGTCTCAAAAAAAAAAAAAAAAAAAAGAGAAAAGAAATGTTGCTTTATGCATGCAAAGCTCTCGGTAAAGATGGAGCTCCAGGAGACTCCTAAAATATTCATTTCAATAAATACTTTAATTAAATAGCCACTCATGCATGGCCCTGTCCAATAGACCTTATTTTCCCAAGTCCTGGAGAAGATTACCAAGGAAAATCCTAAGAACATAGGGAGTCATCGGAGGAGAAAAGATGGGAGGGGGCCAGACACAGGAAAGGAAGAATTATCCTTTCCTCAGCACCCTATGGCAGTTGTTTTACAAGCTTTGAGAGAGGGTCTGAAGCTGCTGTCACATTAATACAGCAATTCTCCTACTTAGGAAGTTCACTTACCTTGCGATAGCCACAGCTGTGCCTTTCTCCAGCCACTATAGAATCTCAAAACAAGGGCTAGTGGCTCTTCACAGTTGGACTATTTTAAATTAGGAGTGGAGAGCAAAGAACAGAGGGGAAATGAAGCTCTAATAAATTTACCTCCCTATTGTGTTCTCAGAGCTCAGTAATTCACAGGAACCCAGGTTTAACACTGCCAACCGACAACATCAGTTGAAGTGATTTTTCTATTTCCCAGGGAATGGAGCTGCACTGTCCGTTTTGTCAGTGCTGAATGAAGACCCCAGCAGCTGTTCACTCCTTTGTGCCCTTATAAATCTTAGGAAGGTTTTATGTCCTCTATGGCTTGTCACTTTGGAACTATTCAGGGATCTGAAAATCTCAGGCACATTTTCCAATTGAGTCTGACTTAGGAATTGCCAGTCTCTGTTGGAGGTGCTTCTGCCATTAGTAACGCCTCCAATGACCCAGAGATAGATTACTCTGTTAGTTTCCAAAAGGCCAGATAATAAACCAATGCAATACAGATTTCTTCCCCATGTAATCTACTAAGGATAAGCTATCATTATTTTCTGACATTTTGCCCTTCTCCAGCAAAATACAACTTTGTCAGCTGAACTTACTGGAAGGTAGGCACTCCTGTTGAGACTTTTTGATGCTTCCAATATAGAAAAACATGTTAATATTTTATTGCTTCAAGAAGTAACATTTAGTCATTTGCTATAGACTTGGCCTGTGTGTTAAATTCTGGGTCATGTAGGTGACTGGGAGACATAATCATAATACTTTACCTCTTACTAGCAGAATCCATCTCCTCCAACCCCATAAACTAATTAATACGTACAAAACAATTTAAGGTGGGAGCTCTTTCCTTGACTGTCGAACCCCTTTCATTCTCCAAGCAAAATGAAAAATTAAGTTTAAAGTTTGCAGCCCTTCAGAGTGGAAGGGGGAAAAGAAATTCATAAGGAAATTGTCTACATCAATACTAGTTGGAATAAGTAAAATAAAATTGCCACTATAGGAAAAAGAAACAAGACCCCACCTTACAAAGTCTCTTCACATTCCAGCAATAGCCACATGGCTCAGGCTTCAAGAAAGGGGGTGTCCTGTTCTACAGAGGGTGTGTATAATCATGGCAACCAAAAGCTGTATCTTTCTTGGTGTCTCTTCAATTCTCTCCAGGGTAGGGGTCAGATCCTCCAAAAAGGGCAAGTCGTAAAGCCCAGTTGCTTGCGCAGGCCCTCAGGAACACACACACACACATACACACACACACACACACACACACACACACACTCTTTAAAAAATATATGTGTATTTTAAAGAATACAGCCAATTCCTTCACATCCCTCAAAGAGTCTTAAAATACTCTGATCCTTGTTAATGCAGTAAAAAGAGCCCCAAAGGAGCCTCCTTTCTCTTCAAATACACCAAATAAACCTAAAAGAGGATTTTAAACCTTCCCCTTGGGTTATCTGCTTGTCCTCCCGCTCCACCAGTAGGGCTGCCAGCCTGGGACTGGTCCCCAGCGAGGGGAGAGCAGTCGGCTCCCGGGAGGCGGGCGGGGAACCCAGCGGGGCCAACCGGGAGGGCCCCAAGTGCGCCCTGGGCGCAAAGCCCGCGCTCCTCCAGCGCGCGCCTCGCCTCCGGTCCTGGCTTCTGGGGGAGTTTCGAGCCGGGGCGAGATTTCTCTCCCTACCCTCACCCGCCCTCAGAAGCTCCGCTTCCTTCCGTAGGGACCCAACCCAGAGCCGATGGCGGGGACCCGGGGGACTCCCCCGGCCCTGGCGTGGCTCCGCTTGTCGCCTCCCTAGCCCCGGGCCCGGCCAGCCGCCGCACGCGCGGGCTCTCAGCCCACCTGAGGCTCCACATGTAGCTGTGCTTGTAGGGGAAGTAGCTGCCCGGCTCGCTGCAGCAGTACTTGAGGTCGGCGAAGCCGCAGCAGTACTGGAGCGCGGCCCCCTCGCCGCGCCGGGGGCACTGGAAGGGCTCCACGAAGCTCTGGTTGAGGCTGTAGTAGCCGGAGCACAGCCTGCTGTCCTCGCTCATCGCGGGCAGGGGCCAGGAGAGGCTCGCCAGGGGCCCGGTCTGCTCTCGGATCGCACCGGTCCAGCACCTCCAGAGTCCGCGGACCCCTCTGCCCGGACTCGGCTCTTCAGATCTGGGCTCTGGCTGCCCGGGCGCTCAGTCTGCCCGCGCCACCTCTGCTTTCTCTCCTCCCCTTGTCCACATGGTGTCTGGGCGCCTTACTCTCGCCTCTCCCTCTCGCTGCTGAGCGGTCGCTCGTTTTATCCGCCCATCTCGGCGCCCACTCCCCTCTACTTTCCCTCACTTCACCAGCAGCCTGGAGACCTTAGCTATCCCCACACCATGCCAGAAAGAGCTTTCTCCAGAGGGAAAAAAGGAGACGTGGGACATGTTTTCAGTCCAGGCAGATGCTGCCAAAGTTGCAGTTTTCCTGCCTAGGGACAGGGCAGGTGGATTCTGGGCAAACAGACCAGGTCTAGTGGAACCTTAACTGCCCGGCCATAGACTCAAGGAGTGGAGGAGAGGACCAGCTAAAAGGCAGTGAACAGTAGTGAGGCGGCGTTGGTGTTCTCTTTGTTTGAGAAGTAAATGTGAAACATTAAGATCTGCCCATTTAAACATAAAAAAACAAGAAACAAAGTCTCCCCTAACAACTGGCCATGCTGCAGTTGCTTTCTGTGTTCAGCTAAAATATCCAGAAAAGTTAAGAAATGCAACACATGAAGGTAAAGAAAGTGAGAACTTTCTAGAGAGGGAGGCAGCCAAAGGAAAAAAAGGCAGAGGAAATAGGGAGAAAACTTCAGTCAGTTTTGATGTGCTGTAGGAACTTCTTTTGTCTCCTTTTTGTTTGATATTCCCATTTTCTTGATTGGTTTGTTCACAAAGGCTTTTTAAAATAACGATGATAATGCATGCTTATTGCAATAAGTCAAGCAATGCTTGGGTGTATAAAGAAAAAGATAATAATAGCCTTATGATGGGAGAGGAGGCGATTATAACATTTATAAAATGTACAAGATAGAGTATTGTTTCTTCCTCTTCATTTCTGCTTCCTTCTCTTGGCCAGGGGCTTGATTGGATCCCAGATGTCGAATTTTACCTTGTTGGGTGCTGGATGTTTTTGCATTCCTATAAATACTCTTGAGCTTTGTACTGGGATGCAGTTAAGTTCCTTGGAAACAGTTTGATTCTTTCAGGATTGATTTTAGTATTTGTTAGGCAGGACTAGAGTAGCCTTTAGGACTGAATTTTTCCCCACTACTGAGGCAATACCCTTCGAGTTATTCTACCCAAACCTTGTGAATTATAGGGCTTACCATTCTGACTGGTGGGAACACAAAGTATTTTCAGCCTTGTGAGGGCTGCAAGGATTGTTGTTCCCTCTGTTTCTTTCAGGTGGTTCTTTTCTGTGGTTCAAGTTGAAAGTTTCCTCCCAGGCCTGCAGTGATCGGTATTCATGAAGACTCTGGTGGTGTCCAAAGTGCTCTCTCCCTCTCACTACCTCTCTTCCGCTCTCTCTTTCTCTCCAGCCCTCTCCTTCTGGTACTCTGTTCTGCTGCCTCTAGCCACTCTTCCCTGGACTTCTCAGACCACTGAGTTCTACCTGGCTTCTACCTTCTTGTACTGCAAAGACCTGGAAACTCTCTCCTGCCAGTGAGCTGGACTCATAAGGCCCACCTCACCTGTTTCCCCTCTCTCAGGGATCACTGTCCTGCAGTACCTGATATCCATGTCCAAAACCAATTGTTTCAGGTATTTTTGTTGTTTCATCATTTTAGGCAGGAGGGTCCATTTGGTCCCGCCTTAGCCAGGGGATTGGACCTGATTCAAAGTAGGCCAGTTAGGGTCTGTGCCCTGGAAATGGAATTCCACCCATGTGGACAGGAAGCCTCAAGAAGCTAGTGTACAGGAAACAGAAAAATGAAGCAAACAGTAGCAAAAGAAAAGGTAGGTAGAAGAGTGCTGGCGGCTTTGCAATTCTTGATCAAGTCCTTTCTGGAGGCCCAGGGCATTCTTAAGAGTTTCCTGACATGTCCTATTTCCTTATAGCCAAAATCCGCTTTTCTGGCCACAGTGCATTCAAGTTGGATTCTACTGCTTGCAGCCAAAGGGTTGTAACTCAGACAGGACATCTTCAGGCAAACGTGAGGGGAGGAGGCAGTTGAAAGGAAAGAATGGAAGCTTTTTATTCAATGGATCAATTTCCCTTGGAAGGGGGAGAAATATGCAGCACTAGCAGACTTCTCCTCCCGTTACATGAGAGAGGAAAAGAAATTTGGAGACAAAAGAGAGGAAAGTTTTTCTGGAAATATTGATTGTCTCAATAAAATATTATTGAGAGCATGAGACAACAAGGTGGAATTTAGATGCTTGACAAGAATAGGAAAGACGGAGTGAACACTGTAGGGAGCATGCCTGGGTAGAGGCTGAGTGGAATAAAAGGATCGGGTGTATCGCTGAGCACCCGCTTTGGGCTAGAAATCACAGTCTTCAGGTAGAAACTCTCCAACAATGAACGGTCAACAGTCTGGGAGCAGCAGCAGGGAGTGAACAGTGAGATTTATCAGGATGATTCTCTGGGGCTATCACAGCAATCACAGATCACCTCAGCCCCCTCCAACCTCCAAACACACATAAAACACAGAAAAATCCAGAGACAGGCATGACCACAGAGGCCGAATTTCACCAAACTTGGAGTACCTTGAAGCCTCTGAACAAAGGAGCCTTTTACCATATGAAGCTTAAGGGCAGTATTAAGGCTGTGGCTTTAACCAGTTAGGAAATCCCTTGGCCTTGTCTGCTGTGCAGTCCCATGTGACTAAGTCCCTAGTTACCTTCCTCCAGGCAGGAGGAGTTCTGATAGGGAGTAGGGTGGGGCTGATCCCGCACCAAAAGATAGCCATCGATTACATCTTTTATTTTCTCTTCTTCTTGTATCACAAGAAGAATTCTCCGTTAGAGAATATTCTGGAAATAAGGAGACAGTTTTGGTTGTCATGATGACACTGTCCTGGCATTGATGGTAGATAGCCTGACCCCCTGCAATATGTATATGAAAATGAAGAACTGTATGTGACTTTCAAATGTTCTACAGGACATTCATGTAGATGAAAAACCTACTTATAATTGTCTGTACCTAGAACCTATCCTTGGATTACAAACAAATACAACGTTTTTCTTGAATTTTCCAGGAATACAACTACCATGTAAAATGAGGGAAGATTGTTACTTGTTTTGTTTGGAACTCTACCAAGATTTGTTCACAAAAAATTATGTGCCAATAGTTATGTTGCTCAAGGGTTTGTATTTGTGTTGCCAACACCACACGCTGTGTCAGCCTGCATTTGTACCGTCACTCCACAGTGATTTGTAGCTATTGCATGCAGAGTATTGATGTAAGCATTATGTCTTTTGGTACAGTTGTGCTTGAGCATTTACATATGGAAATACTGTATATATTTTATGGTAAATTACACTCCTTTTATGTATTCTTTATATTATAATAAAGGCATTATATAGAATTACTGTATGTGTTTGCTAGGTCCCCCATAATAAAGTACCACAGACCAGGTGGCCTAAACAACAGAAATGTATTATCTCACAGTTCTGGGGGCTGGAAGTCTGAGATCAAGATGTCAGCAGGATTGGTTTCTTCTGAGGGTTGTAAGGAGAAGGATCTGTTCCGGGATTGTCTCCTTGACAGGCCTCGATTGCTGTCTTCTCACTGTGTCTCCACATCATCTTCTCACTGTACTTGTCTCTGTCCAAATTTCCTCTTCTCCTAAGGACACCCTAGAACTGGACTAGGGCCCACTCTAGTGACCTAATTGTATTTTAATTACCCCTTTAAAGGCTCTGTCTCCAAACATGGTCACATTCTGAGGTATTAGGGGTTAGGACTTCAATATATGATTTCCTAGAAGGACACAGCTCAGCCCATACCAATTAGGTATGTAGACACATCCTATTTCAAGATAGCAAAGGGAAAGTTATAGAAAGATTTCTGATAAAATGGGGACACTGAGTCTGATAGGGCTGAGAACTGCGGGTATGACTCCTCACAGGACAATGGGAAGTGGTGTCTCATAGGTGAGTGCTGCCCCTTACTTCTAATTTCCAGCCCAGCAGGGTTTACCGAGAATTGGCGTGACAGAGCAAGTGGAGAGAGATTAGGGACAAGAAATATTGGCTGTTGGGTAAAAGAAAGATAAGGGTTCAAACAAAGCTGACTTTGGCTATAGAAATAATGAAGAGGCCATATGAGTGCTTTGCTTAAAAGCTTTCAATATATCTTTATTTCTGAAGTTTCTATAACCAGTGCCACTCTACCTTTCCAACTTTACTTTTCTCTTGTTTAACATCTTCTGATGCTCTGTTGAATCAATCTTCTTCTTTCCCCAGAAATACCTTAATGTATGTTTTTCTATCCAAGAAATGCCACATCTTTCTTCTCTATCTTGAAATCTTGTCCAGTTTTCAAAGCCGAGCTATGGGATTTTCTCACCCCATATCTCCCGGAAACCAATAGAATTGAGCAATTGGTAGGTAGAGTAGAATCTGAAAAGATGCACATGAAGAGGCCAGGAGGAAACAGGGGTCATGAGAAAGCTGAAATTGTAGCTTACAGGTTATAAGGCAGCAGAATAGATGAACAAACGTATAGAAAACCAAAAAGAGTAAAACAATTTCTTGACAGTAAAAGGAGGATGAGAAGCAGAGTTGCTGAGTGAGCATAATGGTGCTAGTGGAGGCAGGGGTGGGGTGGGGTGTTGATGAATTCTTGCTGCTGAAAGGGTTAATAAATTCTGTCCCTAGAGCTGTGCTGTATCTTTCAGATACCAGTCACCATGATACCTAGATATTCGTGGATTCCTGTGAGTGTGTGCTATGGTGGGATGGAAGTCCTTCCTGATATATCTCATATTACAGTTCTCATTTACTCTTTGGGAACACAGATGTAAGATCACAGAACCTCAAAAGGCATACATCCATCTATTACTTCCAAATTACATCATCTCTATGAAAGACACTTGTTGCTTTATACCAGCTCCCATTTCTTCCTCCTCCTTTCCAAGATTACCCATATATTAGTTTCTCCACACAGACCCTGAGTTTCAGAGGTAGATAAACTAACCCCAGTGCCAGAGATGGCCCCTGAATGACTGGTTGCAATCCTTGGTTTAAGGGTTAAGCATATGACGTAAGCATCTCAAATCATTGTGGGCTTCAAATTCTTGCTCAAAATACTAGGCCAGAGTCTCCTGCTGGATGTGGGGGAAAGCACAGGCCTGGTGGCGGCCAGGAGTCAGCCACGCTACAACTATGGTGAGAGGCGGC